TGTACATTGATTTTTTTTTACAACAATAATTTTACTGACCAATTAATAAACCAAAAGCTTGCTTCCACGCAAAAATTCATGACCGACATGTGAAATGGTTTATGACAAACACACCTGTCTCTGGATAAGAAGAATTTCGAAAACCCGGGTCCTTTTGCAACTGAATTTCTTTCAAACTGAATATTGATACACCTAAAATGCATAGATAAAAATTATTAGGTGAAGGCCTAACATTATTAAAGCAAATACAACCAAATTATGGAGAGATGTTTGGAAAGTGTATACTAGCCCAGTCATGGTAGCACACAGTGAGGCCACATGTGAGGCCTATGTTCAATTCCTGACCCAACCTAAAAAAGCTGGGTGCAGTGGTGTAATCCCAGTTACAAAGGAGGCTGAGGAGGAACGTCACAACACAGAGAGACCCTGTCTAAAACACCACATACACACGCAAACACACACACACACAAGGCACACAATGACTCAATTTGAAACATTTATACTATATTTGCAAGGTTATAACTGTAGCCCTGATGAGTATATTCTTTTTTGTCCCAATATTTTGAGGAGAAAACCACATAAAGTAGTCCTCCTTTAGAGCCTTTCTTTGCCCAACTCTACTTTAAGCATGCTGTGAACAGGTGCTTCTCTGAGAATATACACTGTCTGTTTCAGACCTCACTGAGGGGTTGGAAGACTTAATCAAGACCTAGGTTCTTACTCTCTCTGTCTTTTGTCTCCTTATGATGGCACAAAGGTGTCAGGCCCTCCAACTAGCTTTAGATTTTCAGTGAAATCTAAAGGTTTATAAAAACATTAACTTTGCCTGACTCAAACTGAAGCTTGGTATTAACAATGCAATTGAAATATAATCTTTTAGAAACACCTGTAGTTCATTTCTCTCATCTCTAATTCCTGTCAGAGAGGAAGTCTTTCATTAAAAATATCCAGTATGGGGGCCAGCAGGTGGTATGATAGTTAGGGTGCTAAGTTCCACATGGCTGACCACAGTTTGAGTCCTAGACCTTGCTTTTTCAATCTCTCTCTCTCTCTCTCTCTCTCTCTCTCTCTCTGGTGAGCACATGTGCCTTTAGCCAACTGAAAATAATAACAAATAAAATTAAAATAAATAATTCTTTTTTTAAATTATTTATTTCATTTTTTAGTTATTCATTCATTTTTTTAGTTTTAATTTGACCAGAGGGAGACAGAGAGAGAGAGAGAGAGAACACATGAGAAAGCAAGCCACCAAGTCCAGGACTCGAACCGTGGGTGTCCATGTGGGAGTGTCTAGCACCTTAACCACCATGCCACCTGCTGGTCCCAAAATAAATAATTCTTAAAAAAAAGAAATCTAGTACATTCTACGTGAAAGGTCTTAAAGATATTTAATTCCAATTAGCTTTGTCATCGACTGTGACAAAAACCTTGAAGAATCAATATTGTCTAACAAATGAGAACAGAAAATTAATAAACACTTTGGCAGCTCAGTTTCCAAATATTCTCCTAATTCCTCACTCACCTTACTCCATTTTAAAATAAAATGCTAGGCTGATTTAAAAAAAAAAATGTCATGAGTAAATTAAAAAGTTACCTCAGGCATGGGAAATATGCTATTTTAGTGACTTTGACAATATGCTCACTTCTGTCATGGGTATAATAAAGTCAGAGAGACCACAATAAAGGAAAACAATTATTGTATCTTAGGAAGGATATGTGGGGTCGGCAGATGGTGTGATGGTTGAGGCACTGGACTCTCACAAGGCTGAGTGTGGTTCAAGTCCCAGACCTGACGACTTGCTTTCTCACTGTCCTTCTCTTTCTCTTTGTTTTTCTCCAGTCTAATAATACTACTACTAAATAAAATTAAATAAATAATTTATTTTTAAAAAAAAAGAAAAGAAATGCACTTTTATAAGAAAACAACCTTATGTTCTAGCTGTGCTTCATTTATCTTTGACTGAAATCCACTTTTAACAATTCTGAATTGAAGCTAGACCAGGCCTATGGACCGTGTCTGTCATCAAATAGTATATTCCAACTTAAATCTACTAAGGTTAATGACCCATGTCTATGTACTGTCAGTGTCTTACAGAATAGGTCCAATATGCTGAATGTTATAAGGAATAAATGAAAGCAAGGAAAATAAGGTATGCACCTTCCTTTATGAAATTCTGATCTAATTACAAAAAAGACTAGGATTTTAGGACTAACTATCAACAACCTCAGTTCCCAACTCAGGACAAATGAAAATAAAGGGACAGTGAGGCGAAGAAACATTTCAGGATTCTTACTTTCCGGTAAAGCATGTATTCTTGGTCCCAGACTTCGAAAGTACACATGTTTCATAGCTTCTTCTGCTGAAACTCTTTTCTTAGATTCATACTGTAAGAAAAAAAAAAAAAAAGGCATTGAAGTGTTTCATTGACTTTTTCTCCAACTACTGTAAAAAGTGAGAGAATGGTAAATCAGCATTTAGAGCTACTTTAAAAAAAATCTTGATTAGTTAAAATGATGACTATTTTTTAAGTGCTAATTTGGAGTACTCCAGATACACTCTAATTTGAGTTGCTATTGAGATACTGTAGCAAAAATTCTATCTCGGTTCCACTTAAATCTTAAATTTAAATTCATTACATTTTCTGAAGTGATAAAAATTAAGACATCTGACTTTGCTGTGACTTTTCTTCACATATACCAAAGCACTGGTGGACATATATCTATTATCATTAATTACCTATCCAACACCCACTTCCCTTTTACTCTTGGTAATATAGCCTAGATGTGTTCATACTTCCAACTTAGACAGATGGATCATGGATGATGGCAGTTCTAAGTTTAGGTTAATTATGACAATCCTGTTCCCCAATACCCAGCTTCTCTTACAATGTTCTGGCCAATGAAACTTGGGAAGGAGTCTTGTATAGGTTCTGCAAAAGCCTTTGCATTGAAGATGTAAGAGGACTACCGTGGCTGGTACCACATTTGTCCTCTTTCTCTTCCTACTCTGGAAGGAAATAGAAAGGCTATCTGGAGGTAGCGTATCCTGGAAGGCATTAACTATGTATGACAAGAGAACATGAGAAAAGATGGACTGCACAGAACATGGCCCTGATCATAGGTGATTAACGCCAGCAAATGACTATTTCAGACTATTCTAGGTCACAGTGAAAGACCTAGCCTTACAAGGAGAAAACGTAATGTTTTATTTTCACTAAAGCATGTACCTGAAGCATGCCAGATACTACCAGAACAATTTTATTTAATCGTCATGAACAACATTTGAGGTAGGTAGGTTATTACTGACTCTCCTACAGATGGAGAAACTGAAGTTTAACTACACATTTAACAATGATAAAATAAAATGCAACTTACCTGAAGAAACTTTGTTATCAACTCAATTCCTTCAGAGTCTAACCTATAAACAACAAACAGCCAATGGCAATTTATTCTCTTTTAGCTGATAGAAATTCTTTGGACAAAGCTATTTTCTAAGTATTTTAATCAGTTAAATTTAAGTGCCCAAAAATAGCTACTCATGTTGCCTTCAAATAGACTGTAATCTTTTCAGCCTTAAAAGATTTATTTTGCCCTCTGTTTAAGGACAAATCATAACTAACAGGGTTTCAAACCAAGTTTTCAATATTCAAGAACAAGTTAATTATTCAAAGTATCAAATGTTTAAGTTGCCATTCTCTCTCAAAATAAAGCAGTCTCTATTATAAGGAAAACTTAGGTACTGCATCAATTTTCAGTGTTCCACTGCAGGCAAATGTACAAGAGCACCATTTTCCTATTATGCAGATGAAAACTAAGTTAAGGGAACCAGCAGTTAGCGTAATGGCTATGTCGCTGGACTCCCACGTAGACGACCGTGGTTCGCGTCCCGGACCCGGTGGCTTAAAACTCACGCCGGGCGCGTGTGCGTACGTGCCCAAGATCCCGAGAGGAGAATGGAGGAGAAGGGATTGCG